ACGATGCTCATTGACGTACGAGCTTTTCCTGGGGTACGGTGCGAGAATGTAAATCTAGCTCTCCTCCAACAAAGAAGCATCATTATGGAGGCCGGCGATGCTGCGAACATTGCACATGCCTCGGATCATGATAACGACGCGGGCGTCCTGCTGAAAGCCGTGCAAATGTCGAGACACGCGAAGTCTGAGTGCGCAACCCAAAAGGCAACGTCGAGCCCCACTAACATATGTACAGGCAAAGGAACGGTACACGTACTGTCACGGCAGAAGCGATAGACTTACCGTCTCCAGAAGATACGCAAATCATCGAGGACAGATACATCTCTAGAGATTCGAAACGTTCCAAAAAGCCGTCTGATCAGCTTCCCGCGTGCACCGAAAGGTCATACAGCACGACTGATTCCTCCTCGACGCCGTCTGTGGCAAACCAGCAAAAATTTATACGAATGCACGACCACTCAACTACCTCAGGAGTGCCCACATACCCGGCTGTTCCGAAACTTCAATTCTTGAATGTGACAGATGCCGTACACCAGAGCCATGCCCTCACCATGTCTCGCCGCAAGCCTCTGCCGAAGTCGTCGCAGAACGAGCTGACTCCGACTATCGAACCTAAACCACCGTTTTATCGCCCAGCATCTGCACCTCCTCTGAGAACCACCACGTTGATCAATGATACCGAGGAGGATACTGTTCATCCATGCTCGCCTCTAAGTAGGCCTTCCTCGCGCGCATCGACAATGAATTCCCTAGTCTCTGCGAAGTCACACACAGAGCCTGGTCCTATCCATATTCATCCATCCTCCCAGCTCCAAAGCATGCAGTCTATCGGCGAGCTAGATGCAAGACTCCATGAAGTCGCCAGTCTGCGTAACTCATTGAGAATGACGTGGCCCAGCCGTACAAGTAGTGACGCAACTCCGACCGGTACTCCAGAGTCTATATCCAATGTGCCATTGAGCGGTGGAGTTTATGAGGCTCATTCAAGGTTGAATGGTAACATCCGTTCGAAGTCCACCGAAAGAGTGTATTTACATGACTGGGCGAGATTGAGCGAATGGGTTCAGCCTTCTGCCACCGACGAAAGCTCAAAAGAGTGGATCGAGGATTTCCTTGCTCGCCAGGAACAAGCAAATCGCGACGTGCATGGTGAAGGACGACGTCTAGGAAAGCAAGACAGCAAGTATGGCAGTATCCGCAGCCGAGTGGGTAGTATCGACAAATTTAGGCGCAAGCTTAGCATGAGGCGTGTTACCGATGAACGGGGAAGCTTCGAGGCAAGGCAAGAGAGGAGACACGGACGGGTCTTTGACTTGGACATCGAATCGTCTCCTTACGGAAGGGCAATCGTGCCAATACCTGGAGAAGATTTGGAGAGACCGGCGATATCAAGAGCGTTCTCACGGAATTCCATCACGAATCAGCACCTCAGGCCTGAAACCGCTATGTCGAACCGATCGTCCTGGGCCCCTGCATCTTCTTCGGCTCTGCATTCAACGCATGCGCCGGAACCGCACCACATGTCACTACCATCGCGATGGCCATCTTCATATCCTACCTGCAGCACCTTCACACCAAACCCCTATCATTCGACGCCCAAGCAACGACCTAAAGTCAAAAAGCATCGATATCAAACGCATGGTTACGGCTACCAATCGCGTGGCTATCAATCGCATGGCAGAACGGGCAGCTGGGAGAAGTTGAAGGTCAAAGCGGTGACTTCTATAGGCTCGGATCTCAAAAGAAGTATTTCTACTGGTGTCGCGCCCGTCATCACGGAGGGAAAGGACAGTGTGAAGAATCTGGTGGATAAGGTGGAGAGAGCTGGTGGGAGTATGACTAGAAAATTCAGCGCGAGCTTGAAGGACAAGTTGAAAGCGTTCGGCAAGAAAAAGGAGAGCATGAATGTTGGAGGGACCTATGCAGTTCAAGGTGAGCGTTGAAACCAAGTCCGAGTTAGTTCCAAATTCTTCGGACGCATGTTGCACGATACTACATTGATATTCACTTAGCGTTTGAGTCCGCAGATATTTTTGGAATCACATTGACCTCTTACAACGCTCGCTATTCCTTTCTCAAGAACTGTCGTTCGATACAGCAAACAGAGTCAACCCGATATCTAGCGATATCGCATGACGACCAGAGGTGATGATTGAGTCTAGCCTTCCGCGGAGTTGCTCTTCAAATCGTCACCACCGCCCCTGAACCACAAAACTCTTATCCATCAACCGATGTTTTGACGAATGTCAACATCATGCAAGGACCCTGTGTCAGAGTCCGACGCACTGGATCACGGCACATAGAACGGTACCCCTCGGGACCAGCACACTGGTCCCACTCAATGGAAATGCTGCCTCTTTACCGCACGATCAACCAAACAACTCGTCAAGCCTGGAGTTCAGACAGCTCATAGGCCGCTTTCTGAGACGACATGGTCATTACGAGCCGAAGTTGAGGCCATAATATTCTCTTCCGATTTGTTCGCAACACTCGGCATCTCTCAAACATGTCATGATCATGCCCGAAGCTACCGTTCGACTTCATACCCATCTTTTCAGCGCCTTTATACTGGAGATTCTTCCCAAGCGCATATCAAGATCCCCACTGTCGAGCCGTCAAAATGCCACGCTACTTCCCCACAATACCTCTTCAACCCTCACAACCACTGCCTCTTCACCGAGGCTGCAAAGCATACTTTCTGAACAATTACCCGGCACTATACACCAAGCTACGCACCTTCAGCACGCACCATGTGCATCCTTCACTCGCTTCCCATCCCGTTTCAGCGATATACCCTTGGCCGTATGTAGCACCCATATCCTCACCTCACCCATACAGCTGCAACACAAAATAATAAGTATTCAGCCTCGACGCCATCCTCCTCCCCAAGCGCAAGCCCAACGAAACCCCCTTAGACAAAATATACGTAATGTACCACTACCTAATCCGCGGCGACTACGAAGTCCTCCGCAACGAAGTGCAAGACTTCTTCGACCACACAAAGTGGCACGTCTACTCCATCCCCGATCCTCACGACCACGACCCAGAGCGTTACGCTATACTCGCGGCTATAACACAATACCTTGCGCACGGCATCAACCGACGGATTAAGATCAGTAATGGGTATCGGAAGCAGCCTTTGGGGCCATGGAAGACAGCGGCGTACGACGCTTGTTATAATGGTAGAGGTGGCCTACCAATTTTTGAAAAGTTGGAGAGGGAGCCGAAATGGGCGGGGAGGGTTAAGAGGATAAATAATGGGTTAGAGATTTGTCAAAGTTGGAACAGTGCGGTGTGGGGAGAGAGAGGGAGTATGAGGTTTGCGGCTAAGGGAATCGTGACTGTGGAGATTGTGGAATGCTTCATCTGACGGGGTAAAAGCATAGACGTGGTGTGTTTAGCTGGAGTTCGATATATTGTAGTTACTTCGACGTTCATAGCGCGAGTGTTTCTATAGAGAGAGAGACACTCCCGCGACGCTATGTCGCCTCGTCTTCGATTTCCAAGTTCCCCACCTTGAACTTCTTGCCTTTCTTGTCCGCATAATCCCCATGATCGTGATAGTCCTTTACCCTCTCTCTCACATACTCCAAACCCCTCACTGGCTCCCTTTCTTCGGCATCTTCGCCGACAAGCCCCAACCTTCTCAACAAAGGTGATGCCACAGGCTTGATATCGACCTCATTTCCCGGTCTGACAAAGTAGAACAGCCCCAGCCGATGAATATGCGCTTGATCCTCTGGTGGTCTGATTACTCTGTGGATAGTCGACTTGAAGTAGCCTGCAGACCAGAAGGACAAAGTATCGCCAACATTACATATGATGCCGTTGGGAACAGGTGGAACGTACTTCCACTCTCCAGCCGGAGTTTTGAGTTGGAGACCTGCAACATCTTGACTCCAGAGTAGTGTCAAGCTTCCGAAATCAGTGTGCGCGCGAGACCAAGTATTCTGAACTTTGGCATCGTCGGCAGCGGGGCGTGGGTGGTAGATCATGTAGCGTAGATGGTCTTCTGATGCGTCGTCATAGCGATGTTGATCTGAGAAGTAGGTCTCGGGTAGTTCCAGGATCAAAGAGAAGAGCGTGAAGATCTTGGATGCTATGTCCAGAGAGCGGCGCGAGAAGGACTCGATCTCTGGGCGAAAGGGGTGGAGGAAGTGTGGAAATGGCTCGTGGGAGTTTGAAGGGATGAATTTGGGTATGTTGAGGGATTCAACGTTATCGAGGACCGCGGTGCCCATGATTTTCTTCTCGTTGGCCTTGGCTTTGCGTTAGACAAGCGTAATTTGCTTTCTAATGGCATGGATATGAGGGGCGTACAGCGCGGTATCCAAAGTAGTTGCCCTTTGCGAAATCACATCGGTACTTTGGGTCACCCTTCTCTTCTAACGGCAAGTCGAAATAAGCTTGACCGATATCATATTGACGCTCGACCTCTTCCTGCGTTAGACCAGTGCCAGTAACGCTGAAGAAGCCCGTGTGGTGCACCTTCGGCGTTGTCAGAAGGGACGTTTGTCGCACAGTTTAGCTGCCAACTCACTGCGTCTCTCAGCTCTTCAGCCAGTTTTTGTTTTCCATTAGGCTCGTCATACGTAGATAGATCAATGACCTTGATCTCTGCCCAGTCTAGCTTCTTCGTTGTTTGCTTGGGCCGTCCCCACTTTGGAATGGAAGGTGGCTGTTGCAGCGTCGCTGATGGCATGTTGCTGGTAGTAGTTTCAACTTACGAGACTTGGGCGACTTGGAGTCCTGTTTGAATTTTATACATTCTGCGACGTTATTCCCGGTTATTTCTAGTCCATCGCAACGGGTTGTGTCTCGCTGCATAGATGCGGAGGTGGCGAGCACGCAATACCCCGCTTGATGATGTGCTCGCATGACAGCATCGCATAACCCATGCTCTTCTTGCAATTACCACATCGGTTTGTTCTTCTCAAACAAATGGGTGGTAAAGCATCGTTGCCAAGTCGTGCCGGCCCTGTCATCCGTTCTTGAACTGGCTATGGTCGGGCAATTTGACCGCCCCTTTTGCCGTCTTCTCCAACAATTTCGACAAAGTCTTGCCCATCCATCATCGCACCGCGCAGCCCATCCAAATCGGAATCTGGGATTTCAGCGTAGCTGTCCCAGATGATCTTTCCAAACTCATCGAACCACCATATTTTCACCCTGCTCTTCTCGATAGCTTCTTCGTCTGCCACATACACATAGTTCTGAACTCGGTTAGCCACTTCTCTGATATCGAACAGCTCTTGATCTGTGATGTTGCGATCTACATGACTCCCGTCCTCTTCCCTCTCGACTTGGTAGATGGCACTTCCATAAACAAGTTCACTACCATCTCCATACTCGTCCATTATACCCAAACCATCGGTCAGTCCGGGAATGCGAAGAAGAAGCTGATCCAGGACTTCCTGATCCAGTCCATGGAAGTCATAAAGCGCACAATCATCTAAAACATGGTTCAAACTTTCAACGCAGCCGTCCTCGATGTTAGCCCCAGAAAGTCGTGCGAGCTCAGCGTAGCTTTGGGCCATTGAGGGCTTGTAACATGTCCTTAACCAGACTGTGTTCCACCCTGAGTACCATCTGCTGATATTGTGTTCTTGGATGGTTTGATGCGGAGCAAATATCTCGTCGATTTGTTTTGTGGTGGGCGAAGGAAGAGATGCTGCACCAGGGACTTCGTCCAGTGCGCCCTGGACCCGCTTGTACAGAGGCTGGGTAGCGTCAATTTTGAGGCCAATGCAATCACGCCGTGGCATCGGGTGAGGCATGCCGCACCCATCTCTGCAGGAGGCTTGTACTGCGGTACCTCCTGGCTATTTCAATCCATCGCTGATGATGGTCGGCTGGCAGCGCAGGTCTGGTGCTTTCCCAATGTTCCTAAAGGCATGTTAATCACTTGTATCCCCATTCTGTTGTATTGAGTTGGCTTACTAGAGCGAACAGATCAAAAGGGGAGCGAACATGTCGTGTTTCGGCTTCCACCGACGCCATTATCTCTCAAAGAACCTAGGTAGAGGACACCGAGTCAAGCGAATCAGTCGCACTTTTCGCGAGTGAGTCAACAGCTTGTCATAGGAAACATCAGTGTGACTAAGGTAGGTTGCATCGATCTGACGCGCTCCTAGCACACCCAACGCGTGGACACCGCGTGTATTAGTCAGCAAGCTAGCGTACCATCCTGACAGCGCTGACACTGTCACCCAACTCTGAGAGCTCGTAAGGCAAGCATATCTTCGCCAGCGGCGTGGACAATAGTCGATCGTAGGGTAAAATGTCAGATGCACGATGCTTTTCATAAGAAAGCTTCCTGGCCTCGTCGTGTGGAGGCCTTATCGCCAAGATACCATCGGCACTTCCGCATCCTCCGATTCTGCGTTGAGTAAGAAGTACGAGACGTTGCGCATTCCTTGCGGCGGCGGAAGACACCTGACAGCCGATAACTTTCCAAGCTTTCTTTCATGCACAACTGCACGCCTGGAATCCAAACAACTACAAACTCAGTTCCATTCAATTGTAGAACGACCGAGAGATGGTACTAGCGGCGCCAAAGCCACCGATTGTCTTGGGGATCTGGTGATGTCATTAGTCACGGCAGAATTTCGCCGTAGCGCGCAGGAACCCGATCTGCAAGTAGTAAGGACGGAGTTCCGACTCATGATTCTGTCTGTGTCCCAGTAGGCTGCACCCTGGGTGAATGCAGTGATGAAGAGTCGGGATGCATGCAAAGGACCGAAAGAGAAAAGGAATGTGAGGTATATAGAGTAGTTGGACGGACATCCGTTGCGCATATAATCACATTGCAGCTCTCCTCGTCTTGTATACATTTACCCGCAGCACCTTCCACAAGTTCGTCTACGCTGAATCTCGGTACTTCAGTTCTCACAACCCAAACCTACGGCTTTTGTCGAACGTTGGGACTGCCTTCAAAATGCCGTCCACTACACAACCTCTCAATATCCTGATATCAGGCTCCGGCATCGCCGGTCCTGTAACAGCGTACTGGTTGCACCGCTTCATGCCCACCTGCCAGATCACCATCGTAGAGAGATCACCCGAACCAAGATTAGGTGGACAAGCCGTCGATCTTCGCTCCTCAGCTCTGCCCATCGTGAAGAAGATGGGGATCCTGGAAAAGGTGAAAGAGAAGACTACTACAGAAGTTGGCATGCAATTCGTGTACCGAGATGGAGAAAGACGCGCAACGTTCGAGGCCACTGGGGAGGAGGAGAGACAAAGCGGTATGTCACCTAGCCTTTGCGTCCAGTGATTGATGGGAGGAAAAATACGGCATTGTCAAAGCAACACGAGCACCTAGACTGACCTGATCATAGCAACAAGCGAGTACGAAATTCTAAGAGGAGATATGGCACGCATTGTCTACGAGCTCACGCTTTCCAACCCAAACATCAAATACGTCTTCGGGGAAATGGCCACAGAGGTCCAACAAGACGAAGCCAAAGGCAGCAAAGCACTTGTCACTTTCGCAAACGGCAAGCTCCCACCTACTGAATTTGACGTCGTCATCGGCGCCGATGGCCAAATGTCGCGAACCCGGCGCATCGTGTTCGGCCACGGACCCAAGAACGACGACTATTTGCACCGTCTCGGTCAGTACTCTGCTCTCTTCACCATGCCTCGCGAACCCGTCGATACCCAGTATGCACAGTGGTACAACGCCTCGCGCGGCCGACTGTTCCTTCTACGACCTGACCAGTACGGCACCACGCGAGCGTACCTCGCCATCACCGATGGTGATCTTAGCCGCTTCGAAGAGATTGACAAGCTGTTGAAGAAAGGCACTAGGGAGGAACAGCAAGCGTGGTTCGAGAAGGAGTTCGGGGGTGCCGGATGGCAGACTGAGCGTTGTATACGCGAGATGAAGAGGGCGGATGACTTCTATATGCAGCAGATTGCACAGGTCAGGATGGATACTTGGCACAAAGGGTGTGTGGCCCTGGTGGGTGATGCGGCGTACTGCCCCAGTCCGATTTTTGGTGTGGTAAGTTCTCCTCAACCTTCGTTCTCATCATCGAACCTTCAGACTGATGTCAATACTAGGGTACTGGTGCAGCAATCGTAGGCGCATACGTTCTCGCAGGCGAGATCTCGCGCTCTCAAGATGACATCCCCACCGCGCTCACCAACTATGAACGCATTACACGCGAATATGTCGACAAGGCGCAGAAACTCATCCCCGGAGCCCCGCAAATCGCAAACCCGCAGACGGAATGGGGAATCAAGGTCTTCAACACCGTGACCGGGACTTTGTCACATCCGTTCATCCAGAAGTTCAGTGGTGTGATTGGAAAGATCATCCCAGCATTTGGGTCATCAAAGATTTGGAGCCCGCCGGAGTATGGGTCGTGAGGAGTGTGGATGGATGATGTGTTGGAATTTCAGGGTGGATTGATCTCGCGCGATATAATTCTGTGAAGAGCTTTTAATGCATTCATCAACTGTTAGCCTGGCGAACGTCCATCAAGCGAATATTCATGGCAGAATGAGTTATTTAGATCGAGGCCAGCACTGACGTTCTCGACTCGTCTACTCGGCAAGCAGGTCTACACCAACGCTTTTCAGCGCGTCGACCGCCCATATAGGATACTTATCCTTTTCCCTGTTGTACAGATCACCAAAGAAGTCCTTGACAAATTGTGGGTAGCGATCCTGCATGATGGCCTCTCTCGCTTCCCTCATCAAATTCAATTGGTAGTAGACGTTGTGCATGGTGAGAAGGTGGGCACCAGCAGTCTCTTTCGCGGTGACGTGGTATATGTAGGCTCGAGTGATACCCAGTCCGCCATCGGATGTCGGACGGCAGCAAGTGCATCGGCAACCTTCTTCGACAGGGCTGAAATCTTCGGAGTACATGGCATTGCGTAGGTTGAGAGAGCCGCGGGATGTGATGGCGTTGCCAAATCGCTAAATATTGTTAGCACGGGTCTGTGATGAATGGGAAGAAGACCTTACGGCGGTTCGTGTCGGCCAGACACAGTCAAACATGTCGGCGCCGAGTGCGACGGAGACGACCAGATCTTCTGGATATCCCTAAGTTGGTCAGTAAGCTGTAATAATGCGGAGGGCATCCATAACTTACGACGCCCATAACATATCGCGGCTTCTTCTCAGGAAGCAGGTCGGTGCATGTCTTCACGACTTCGCAATAGGCTGCCTTCTCCTCACCGCCAGAAAGACCCCCTATCGCGATGCCTGGTGTATCTCGCGCAACCATCTCGGCGGTACATTCTTTCCGCATGTCCAGGTCCAGGCCACCTTGAATGATACAGAAAAGGTTCTGTCGGTCTGGGTATTTATGCGCTTGTATGCAGCGGTCAAGCCAGCGTACCGAGCGTTCCATGGCCTCCTTCATACGCGCGTGGTCGGGCGAGGTGGTTGCGATAACGTCGTCGAGTTGCATGATTATGTCAGAGCCGATTGAGTTCTGGAGGGAGATGGAGTGTTCGGGTGTGAGCAGCATGGGCGACCCATCGTGGGGGCTGAGGAAACGGACACCTTCTTCAGTGACTTTGGCGAGTTTGAGGAGCGATACCATCTGGAAACTGGTGTTGGCGTCAGTTATGGTGCGTTCGTTCACCACGTTGGAAGTATGACCCACCCACCACTATCTGCAGCAGTCAGCACTTCCGTCTTTCCATCCCTATACGCTACGGTATGGTGCACCTGTGAGGATATTATGTGGCCAGGACTGGAGCCTATGCGCGCCGCCTATCGCATCGAGTGTTGCCTGTCCTGGCTTAAGGCCTCTCCCGCATGTCAGCAGTGGCTGGCATGGTGGCAGAACGTCGGCCGTACAGGTGATATGTGTTGTTTAGACATAGCCGGCAGCCCTGGTCTTCGAGTTGGTCGGGCGTGAGGCCTTTGAGCGAGGCCTGCGTCGCAACGGGCATGAAGATGGGGAGGGGTACAGGGCCATGAGGCAGATGCAGCGTTGCCGCGCGTGCTTTGGTGACCTGGGCTTGTCAGGGGATGACCAAGACACGAAACTGACTCGATACATACCGAGCACTTTCCCAGCAGCTCAAAAGTGAGGGCCGAAGGCATTGAGACGGGCGCCATGATGCGATTGGGGACGCGACCTGCAGCCGATGAGTCGCTTCAGCTGCAGCCCGTAGTGTTGCGGCCCATTCGCTTAGCGCGACTTCCCCGTGTCAATCGTCATGCAATCCCAGATCCAGTCTCGCAACCAGCCGAGCGCACCGGAACATAGTGAAGCAGTTGGTAGCGTTCAATCGGCGAGAAATCACGCTTGGACTTGTTCAGAGAACTCACGCGGTTGACATCAGCAGTGACTATACGTTCATTCCTTCATAGGTCTGTTAAGGCAGGCTAGACTGCCCAGCTTTACATTGGAACAAGGGAAGGCCAGACTACAAATAACTAACTCTAGATGACCAACTTCGAGCCTTGATACTTCGTCTCCTCCCTGTACACAGTAGACTTGAGCGAAGCCTCAAGCTCTCGCTTCGGGAAACCTTTGAGAGATCGTGCATACGTTGCGACAGAGTGCGAAATGAGCTTGGTGTTGACAACCCACGCAGTAACGTTGAGGTTTGAAATATCGTCGCAAAGCTGATGGTAGCAAGGATCATACCAGTCCCCGGCCTTGCCGCCAAACATCTCTACTTCCTCCTCGGTCTTGATGCCCTCGGCTCCTGTGGCAATACCACCACCAGGGATTCCGTTGCGAATGAAGCCGTCGTAATCGCTGCGGCCATCAAAGGGAATAAAAGTGTAGTTCAGACCTTGATCCTCGTACCATTTGATGTACAGATCGCGCAACTCCTCTGAGCCGTTCGGGTTCACCGCGTTTGTAGCATTGTAGATTTGGTAGGCGAAGTTGGGGCTGGTACAAGTTAGTCACATTACATCCGCCACGCGTACGGTGATATCGCTTACCTAGCCATCATATCGTAATCCATGAAGAGACGGATCTTCTGGTTCTCCTTCTCGGGCAGAGAGGCGACATAGTAGTTGGATCCGAGTAGGCCTTCCTCCTCACCCGCCCACCATGCAAACCTCACACAGTTGGTGACGTTGAACTTTGTGAGTTGAGTAGCAATTTCGAGCAGCGACATTGTGCCTGTTCCATCATCGTTGATACCAGGTCCTTCAGTGACACTGTCGGAATGTCCGCCGAGCATGACGCAGTTGTCCGGATCGCCAGCCGTTGTCTGCGCAATAATGTTGACCGTCAGGATGGTGTTCACTTCGGCGTCAATGTAGGCGATCGCATCCACGCGCTTTCCCTTTTCGAGCTTTTTCAGAATTGGTTCAGCTTCTTCACCGGACAGCCCGAATGTAGCTACGTGATCGGGAGACGGCGTTCCGAGGGTGCCCGAAACGCTGTCTTTCTCATAGTTGTAGACAATGGCAGCAGAAGCGCCTTTGCGACCTGCATGCTCGGACTTAGTACCAAAGGGGCAGACTCCACGTTTGATGAATGCGATGTTTCCGGCTACTGAGTCTGGGTAATCCGACGCCTGACAACCGTCATTCTCAACGAAAACGAGGTCGCCATGTACAGGCTCCTTGTCCTTTGTGGGAGGCGTTAATCCCATAGGATGGGCAGACTTCGGCACGGCATCGCCAATGACAAGACGCGACTCGAAGACATTGCCGGACACAGCTGGGAAGGTTTGATTGGTGATTGTATAGTAGTCGCCAAGTTGGAGGATAGTTTCATAGATGTAAGATAGCGTTCCGAGGTGGCCTGCGACTTCATCAGCATCAGCGTACAACAAATCACGTGCGCAAACGTACCAGCACTCCCGATGACTCTGGTGGGATGGTTGTATTCCTCTTCACCGAGCTTCGCGATCTCATACATCTTCTTGGCGCGTGCCATCAATCTGTCCCCACTGATGAGATCTTGGAGCTCGGTCGAGTTGACCAACGGTTTGGTCCCATGTGGATGTCCGAGTGGCGCTTGATTGCCGGACGACAGAAGCGGGATCTGGAGCGCCGTCGCGCTTGTGATGGCTGCGCACAGCGCAAAGCCAGAGGAGAAGACCATGTTGTAGGTTACGGAGATGGATGGGTTTGGAGACGAGATGGGATGGAAGAGGGTTGTTTGTGTGTTTATGGATGAGTCGCTGTTGCCATGCCGCTAACACGCGCCTCGCGATAAGGCCTGTCCCGTGCACAGTACCAGGTGACTGCTTTTGCTTGAGCATATGTCAAATACATGATGGCTTTTTGTATGTATTGAAGCCTTGTCAAGCTTTGCGATGTGCAGAGGGAAGATCAAGTCGTGAGGGCATAGTTGCGCATCCAGCCGGCGTTACCATGCTGTTGCTAGTCTCTCATCATATGCAAGGTACAATACATGCGGACCGCCAGGAACCAATCAAGTCTAGATGAACAACAACTCCCCCATCGCATCATGGAATGTCTGCAGACTGATGTGTGTAAGTACATAGTTTCAACAGCAGTAGACGTTCGGTCCTCTCTAAATCGTCATCAGCAACTTGTCGGCCCTTCTCAACATTGCGATCGATGATGGTTCATGCGGTTGTCAGTAGCCAACGCGTTGGAACCAGCGCTTGTATTCCATGTAGCGCCATCGATGCGAATGACCTCTGGTAGCTCGAAGTGTGTCGGTAGCCATCAAATAGCTCGCATGTGCATTGCGGAGATCGAGACCCTTCCCCTTATTGCTGCTAAACCTGAGATGTGGAGTCTCGGCCCACGTCAATGTGCATGGAGCTGAAACCTTGTTCTGGACTCCGCATCGTAGTGTAGCCAAGGCGTGTCAAGCATTGCCAGGGACGTTGCGCGGTGCTTGGTGACGTGTTCTACTGAAGATAAGCTTAGCTAGACACTGAATTACCATGAATCGGTGCCAAAAAGAACCAATGAAGACCAATTGGCTGCGAACGGCGCGCGCTGCTGCAGAATTACGGTGTAAACGCGCTGCGACATTTTCGTTGTTTGGCGATCATAGCGTCGAGGCTGTGTGTTGTGGACGCGCCCGCCCCGTTGCGAACTGCACCTCGTAAACAAGGAAGCAGGTAGTATACTCGTCCCGAAATGACGCCCGGCCCTTTTACAATGTCTAGTCCCACCGGCCCTCTTGTCTTTCTTTTTCACTTACTCTCTATCAACTCCTCTCCAATTACGGCATTACAAACTGCAACCGCTGCAGGGCAACTCGTTCGCCCGCCCTGAAACCCAAGCCAGTGCATTCAACTCTTGCACTTGGCGCACCCTAAAAACCACCCCTTGGGCAATCTTCGTATACCAAAGCCATGGCGCACCGCTCGAGAAGCTCGCGAGACTACCCCGACGGCTCAAGGCACCGCTCGTCGCGCGACCGAGGATATACCAGCGAGAAGCCACGCTCCGTCCCTCCCTCCGATCGCCGTGACAGGCGCGGCTCGTCTCTGCCACAGTACAACCACAATGGACACAAGGTGACCCCCGGCCTTCACCCCGAGGGCGAAAGTGGCCGCAGGGGTTTCAACCCGGTCAAGTTCCTGGTCATCAGCGGCAGGAGTAGCAGCACGATGTCTATGCTAGTGAACTGCCTATGGCCCATTGTACCTGTAGCAATTGCACTGGTAAGCGGCACATAAGAGAATATGTTTCTTGTACTAACCGACTATAACAGCACTTTGCGAGGCCCGAATGGCATCTAGCGATCTTCATTACCAACTACATTGCCATGCTTCCTGCAGCCAACTTGCTCGGTTTCGCTGGCCAGGAGTTCTCGCGCAAGATGCCAAACAAGGCCTTTGCTGTCGTTCTCGAGACAACATTCGGTTCCGTTGTCGAAGTTATCCTGTTCATGGTCTTGCTCAAAACCTCCAACGGCGACTCAAACGTGCAGGTTATCAAGGCTGCTATATTGGGGTCTATCTTGGCCAACCTGCTCCTCTGCCTTGGTACCTGGTAAGTGTCTGTTCGATGCTCGATCAAGCACTCACTAATTTGCTCCAGTTTCATTGCCGGTGGTGTCAAGCATGACGTCCAAGAGTTCCATAGTGCTGTCTCTGAGAACGGTAGTGGCTTGATGCTCGTAGCTGCTAGTAGGCCGATCCTCCTCTTGGCTCGTCAAAGTACCAATGCTAACCTTTATAGCCGCGCTCGTACTTCCCGCTGTCTTCTACGCATACCTCTTCCAAAACCCCGATTACGAACAGACTGTTGATATCGCCTATAACACTCGACTGATATCCCGTGGTGTCGCCATCATCTCCATCGTTGGCTACCTGGTCTACTTGTATTACCAGACCGTATCCCACGATGGGTTGCTCCATGAGATCTACGAGGCAGACGACCACAAGGACAAGGACCGCCACGAGGAATTGGCTAAGCCCAAGCTTACCCTAACCGAAGTCATCGTTGCTCTTCTCGTCTCACTGGCCTGCGTTGCACTCGTCGCTATCTTCCTCGTCCTCGAAATCCCGCATATAGTAGAGCGAGGAGTTAGTGACTCCTTCGTCGGACTTATCCTTATCCCGCTGGTTGAGAAGATCGCCGAGCACCTCCTCGCCATTGACGAAGCCTATGACAATCAGATCAACATGGCCCTTGCCCATGTTCTCGGTGCCTCTATTCAGACTGCCCTGTTCAACGCACCCCTTGTGGTACTGGTTGGTTGGGGTATTGGTGTCGGCATGGACTACAACTTCGCCATCTTCGACGCTGTTGCCCTGGTTTTGGCGGTCCTGGCGGTTGGCTCATTCCTCCGCGACAGAAGCTCGAACTACCTGGAGGGTGTACTCTGCGTGATGACGTACGTCATCATCGCAGTATGTGCGTTCTACTTCCCCAACCCTGCACACCACGGTGCTTCCGGAGGCAGCGCTGAGGGTGGCGCTGAGGGCGGCCACTGAACGAAACGTTCAGATGGCTGTATCCATAAAGCCACAGGGCTTACTTTAAATTGATACTCACACAGCGGTGGTGTTGTGGAGTTTCGTTGCAAATGGGCTGCGAGGAGGATGGTCGGGTTTCCTACATGTAGCAAGCATCTGTGATGCATTTCTTTGAGCAGTCTTCTTTTCCAGCAGTTTTAATTAGCGAGCAAGAGATACCAATATGATATACGAGATTGACACTGTTTATCTGCTGAGCAATGTTGGTGATGGCCGCTCCCATGTGCTGCGTTGGCGCCAAACCCTTTGTGACTAGAGTCCTGCGCACGGGCCTCCACACAGATTAGGCGAATAATCGCGCCTGCCCTCCCGACATTTCTACTCTCCAGCGACAATCCAACTAACCCGACAGCCACCGCCCCTTCCCACGACAACCTCTTCTCCCAGCTCACACAACAAGTCGCCAAAATGGGTCGCGTCCGAACTAAGACCGTCAAGAAGTCCGCCAAGGTCATCATTGAGCGTTACTACCCCAAGTTGTCGCTCGACTTCGAGACCAACAAGAGGATCTGTGATGAGATTGCCATCATTGCCTCCAAGAGGCTCCGAAACAAGATTGCCGGATACACCACTCACTTGTACGTGCCGACACTGGGGCTGCGACAATGGCAATGAGGGGCTGGTCCTGGAAGCTTGAGTGGCCTGCGCAGAGGAGCGTTGTGCAATGCCTATGCGCAGGCTCTTGGGCACTTCAGAGACAGCTTTCCATTCAACCATACCGCAGCCTTGCTTGAGCAACATGCTCTTTCGCACCAAATATTAGGCTAACAACTCGCAGGATGAAGCGTATCCAGCGTGGTCCCGTCCGTGGTATTTCCTTCAAGCTCCAAGAAGAGGAGCGTGAGCGAAAGGACCAGTACGTCCCCGAGATCTCCGCTCTCGACTTCACCCAGAACAGCGAGTCTGGCTCGCTCGACGTCGACCAGGAGACCAAGGACCTGCTCAAGAGCATGGGCGTACGTTACTCCATACCCATACCCTCTCGAGCATCTCACTAATACATGCGATAGTTCGACAGCATCCCCACCAACGTCATTGCCGTCTCTCAACAACAGATCGTCGAGCGCGGTCCCCGCCGCTTCAACGACCGCCCCGCCCGCTCGTAAATACGAATGCGCACGCGCGACACGATGGTCTCCCTTCTTCCTCCTTTCTCGGCTTACTGAAAATATGGTGTCTGGGAAAGGGTCTCTTCTGCCACGACTATGGCATGGTTTTACGGCTATATACGGCGGCATGATGATCAGGAGTCAATGAAACAAAAGGTTCTCTCCCACTAGGTGTCGCTGAGTCCGAGTGTTGCAAGACACGAGGATGATGCTTGATTGCCATTTCCCCTGCCCATGCTCCCTGTGTGATGCGATGGTGTTGTGATGACCAACGAAGAATATAGAGTTCAGGTTCAGGTAAGTGAATTTCATTACCGGTCTAAACAGCATTACCAAAAGGGAACGATCCTTCATACGTCTCGTGATGTCAATAGCTTCACGCTCAGATGAAACAAATCCACGCACTATCTCAACCCATCGTTCAATGCACGTCCTCCTGTGTAATATGTTGGGTTTCTCAAGGCTCGATGAATCTAGTCTATACCGTATGGAGCCCAATTTGCTCAATGAAACCATCATTGAACACATCCCTAGAACATTGCCGACATCACCACACCGTTCAAGGCCAAGCTCCAGTGTACGTTTTCTGTCTGCCAATGCTACTGCCAGCAACGTGGTCGTCATCCAAATCCTTTGCTCTAGCAGTCTCATCGGCTTCCTTTGTGCCATCACTGTTGTTCTTCCGACCGCGACTTGTACCCGCACCCAAGACCGCCTGGTGCAGACTACTCCGCTTGTCCGACTCCGAAGTAACAGGACGCATGGCACTCGTGGAGGACGTCTTTGGCGTAGCTGGTACTGCTCTAATCGTGTTGAAACGATACGTTTCGGGCTCGGGTGTCGCGACCCAAGTTGAACCGGGTCCGTTGTCTAGGCTTGGACGTGAATGCTCTTGCTGAGGATGTGAATATTGATTGGAGGTGCGCCTCTGATTGTCCATAAGATGTTGTGGAGGAGGTATCGGGGAACCAGAGCCAGTAGGAGATGACGGCGTTGTTGCTTTGGCTGTGCCGTTTTGCTTGCGAAGACGATCAATCGAGTAATAAAGGGCGAACATGATGAGGGATAGTGCGAAGAAGACCCCTATAGCGATGCCAGCTATCTGTGTACTGAAGAGAGTCATGGTAGTCTTCGGTCTGCTGGTTTGTAGAGATAGTTGAGTGGTCTTGGAGAGTCGGGGGTAGGGGTTTGGTAAGTCTTCTGTATGTTGGGGACTATGAACGGGGTTTTATCAGCGGAATGAGGAACAATCTGGGAGTGGGTCACACAAACGCATGTTCATTCTGTTTGTGGATGCTCAATGTGATAGCCGTCGGGTAGGTGCATGTTACACGTAGAACTTTCGAATGCATCTGGTGAGAGCTGTGGTTTTGGCATGACGCGCACTGTAACATCAAGACTCCTAAGTCCATGGCATTTATGCATTCATGTCATGATCATGATGATCTTGGAGCTACCTGCAAGACTTAGCACTTGCGAACCTGGAGAGTACGTACATAGCCCCGCCTTCAACTAGGTCTGCCTGAACAAGCTTTTTACAGCCCTCTTCAACCGGCTCTCTCGTTTCTCTTTCAACTTCACCCATACATATAGCCCTGGTTTCCTCTTCAGGGACCAGCTCAACTTGCCCTTATCATCCCTCCAGTGAACCATCCATCGCTCCTTTTCCAACGAGGGGTTTTCAAGCATCAGATCCCACTTATAGCTTGACCCGCGAAACGGATACACCAGATGAGGGAAGTGAGCGGGAAGTCGACCACACCCACATACCTTCTCATCATGGAGCCTTTTCAAGCGGAAAGCAATCTTCCGAACGTTGCATGTCGTCGTCGGAAATGGCGGGTTAAGGACTGAAGCGCGAAGGCACCAGTGGTTTGGCCTGGGCATGCTTTCCGTTACACATCCCTGGAGCTATGAGACAATTCATTGCTGTGATGAGTCCAATGATATTGCTGTATGTTGTTCGGATGCGATAATGGTCGGATGCCATAGAATCGCTTGGAGAATAGAGGGGTGCGGGCATGTCCTGGACTTGGCTCATGTAACGCGCGATTTGTGCCGGATTCAGTGTCGCGACCATCTGCAAGACGTCATCTTCGCACTCAAGGTCTTCTAACCCGATGGTCAGTCTAGCTAGGTGAAGTTCTAGTACAGGTGCCATGGCTTGTAGAATGCCCATTATAGTAGGCCGATCGAGCATTGCCCAGCGCGGTATTCCGATCGTGAGGTGCATCAGCGAAGCGAAGGTCGTTGGCCGGAGCGGTTGTAGCTTCATTGGCGTTGCGTTGACGGAGAACTGGATCGTGCGTAGGATGGAAGGGGCCAGGCGGACGGCTTCGGAGGTCATATCGTTGTAGATCTGGGGGCAGGAGAGCATGAGCCCGATGTATGTCTTGTAGGGCGCGTTTGGTAAGAAGCCATTTGGTGCCATGTGGCTGTATATGAGCAAGCGTATCTCCGCTGGTAGTGCAAGCAAGCGGCATGGCGTCGAAGTTGTGGGCTGGGAACGCCTGTCTCGACGTTTGATCAGCTTCATGTTGCATTGGGTCGATGGTGGTGTGCCGTTAACGTAGAAAGTGGAACGAAGTTGCTTGCGAGGCAGGGAATTTTCGCGTGGTGACAAAAGCTAGTTGTGGAAATATCTCTTCGTTGCTACTGTCTCCTTTACTGTCAAACGCCCATCAAAGTAGCGTCTCCCGTGCCTTGAAAGACTTTTGAATGCCATTAATTCAGCGCAAACCAGGTCTCAGCGTCACCATGGATACAAACTCTTGAACAATGTAACGGCACGATTGATAAAAGGAGGCCCAGTGCTTTCAGCTCCAATTTTGTCATCTAGGTTCTCGTGTATACCATGAGTGTCCTTCCGGAAAGGATACCATTGCGATCCAACGGGACCATGATTCTTTCAGGCTATCAAGATAACCGAGATCGCTCCAGAGAAGATGTAGTCTCTAGAAGGCATATGCTGCTGCTGTTCCCAGGAATGTGGCACGTAAGGCAACCAAAGCCGAAAGCGATAACTTCTATAGATGGCGAAGACGACCAGCGTACTGTAACCCACACATATTTAATTCAATATTTTCGCAATGATGGCATGTAAATCTGGATGGAGGCGAGCGTACTGAGCGCAGATAAAATGAGGATGATACTGCAGGAACGCGACAGGAAGGGGTTCGTCACTCAAGCGCACCCCGGGCGCATACCAACGCGTAGCGATGCGATGCAGGAACGTACAACGCGTCGCAGCCATTGCTAATAGGAGAGGAACTGACAAGATGAAGCACTCAATGGATGTCTTGATGGAAGGTTGTGAGCGGAAGCGCTAACTATGACGTTCACCCGAGGTTCCAAGCTTGTTGGGGCCGAGTCATGTGGGTCACGTGTAATTCCATTGCTCACCCCGAATTTACTTGGCACGCTAGCGACGCGAGCGTGAATGTTTTTGCCTACCGCCCTCACGCTCCGACAACCCAACCACCCCGCAACCTTTTGACCCGGCCACGAACCTCACCCTCCAACCCCATCGAATTCCATCGAGATCTGTTTCCTTTCTCATCTATACCGATCCACAAGTAGACAATTTACTACTTTCGGTATATCAGGTCATATATCGCGCTTGGATCACTATGTCACCTGCCGCGATCAGCCAGACCGCTGTTACCTCACCTTCGCCGCCACAACAACCCCACACACCGACTTGTACGTGGAGACCGTGGAAACATCTCTTGATCATGAATTAACGTGCCGTACAGCGAATGCTATACCTGCATCAAAACATTTCGATGACATCTTCCACGCCAAGTTCATGCACATCATCCAAGAATGGAAGAATGATCCATCTCGCGGCCAGCTAACTCAGAAGGATCGAAAGACCTTTATTGAGAATGCCTTCTTTGAGACCGATGAACTGTATTTCGGCCGGCGTATGATGACTGATCTTGAGATCAAGCTTCGCGCCCTTACCAAGGTCTTCTACAAAGTCCTCGCAGAAGAACCCTGGTCTGAGGATTGGATACGCGCTCCTGATGTTGAGCGTAAGCTTTCCAAGTTTGAGATGCACGAAGATTCCGTAGCTCTCGCCAAGGAGTATGGCTTTACCACACCTCGTGAGGCTGTCAAGGCGGCTCGCGAGGCTGGTATCAAGAACGCAGAGACTTACAAAGAGGCTCAAAAGGAAGGCAAGACACTCAAGGACATCAAACTCGATCGGGGCCCGTTCGACGATATCGAGATTGTCTACATCGCCGGCACGGTCTCGTCATCTGCTACAAGCAAGATCGACCGTAGTAGCATCTACCCAGTTTCCGTATCTTCAGTCGCCAATGTCCTTCAGAACCATATCTGTAGGGACATGGTTAGACCGTTCTCAATGGCTGAGCGCTTCGTCAACTGCACCGACACCAAGGAACTAGAAGACATGCGCCGCTTCGCATGTAATGTCTGCGATTTTTGTCCTCATCTTCTCGACAACGACAACGTCAGCCTTCTCGTTGTTCTGCTTATCCTGTCGCGTTCTGACTGCTGTCGTCGCTTTGAGGCCAATGGCATTCGCATTGAAGGTTCCACGATTAGTCACCGTAAGGCTGAGTGCATGAAGAACAAGATGGGCTGGAAGACATCCGAGGACAAGAAGCCCTACGACAACTTCGCTCAAGAGTTCCAGACCCGTGTCAAGAATGCTTGCTTCCCAGCTCCCCGAGCTCAGCGCATCGGTGGTCGAAAGCCGCCGCGCAACTCTTCTGGCCCAGCGACTCCTCCGATCTACGCCCAGCCTCATATGGGTTACGTCGCGCCTCCACAGGTTCGCACCGACCACGTAAATACCAGCATCAACGTTCCTGCTCCGCCTGCACAAAACAGTTTCGCGCAGCCTGCTGCCCCAATGATCAAGGACCAGCGTAGTCGCGAATCAACTGGTGCCGGTAGCAGCGCCGCCGAACCCATGGATCTTTCCTGAATTGTTTAGCGTGTCATCGACGGGCTTCGCAAGCTCAGTTTCAAGAATCATTACTGCATGGCTAAGGCGTTCTTTAGGTATCTCGGGGTCTGCATATGGGGTTCAAAAACGGCGTTCCATGCATCATGTCCGATTTACCTACGCGGTTGCCATATTCTGCATTCTTCAGTGTACTCATAGTCACTTTCCTGTAAATAATCATACTGCCAGTATATAGCCATCTAAAATATACATACCTGAATGCAGAATTCAGGCCATACAGCCGAAGTATCTTCCAGTAGATGTTCGTGTTTTGAAACAAGCTAGACTGTGGAGTTTGCAAAGGATGTTATTGTGTCATCGTATTGTTATTTTGATCCGACAACAAGTTAAAGCTACAAGACATCATCGCAACGTCTTGCCAGCATGAAGTGTTGCTTCATCCCAGCTGACTCCACTCGTGGAATCAGCTAGACTGCCAAGCCAAGTGTGTATCAAACTGACTGCGATGCGGCTCGGACGTCGTTCCGCTCAACAACTCACTCACTCAAGACATCATCACAATGGAGCTCAACAACTTCGAATTCCTAGCCTTCTTCCTCTGCTCAAGCATTTTCGGTCTGCTCTCCGCAGTCTCGTCTACAGTACGTCAATTTGAAACACTACGCTAGCGTCTCATACTAACAGCTCCAGACTGAACTCATCAGCGATCGCGAGATCATTCTCTTGATCGGAGTCTTTGTTGCAGTCGCGATCGCGCTTCTAGCACGTCTATCCACTGGCAAGGCGCTCACCAAATTCCTCACGAACGACGTTGGCGGCGTACACGAGAAACAACTTCGTGACCTCAGTGAAGCCCATCGCCGTCATATCGCGAGCGTAAAGCACGACGGCAATCGCGAGACCCTTCGCCTTCGAAACGACATCAACTACGCCGCTATGAAATTCGACCGCCTATCCAACGAGCACGACTACATGTCTAGCATGTACCAGCAGCAGATGCACCACACTCAAGAACAAGACGACCGCATCGAGTACCTCGAGAAGAAGCTTCAAGAGTTGGGACAGTCTACCCCCGTTACTCGCGCTCCCTTCTCCGCACCGCACTCGCAGATCAGCTTCTCGCTTCCGCCACGTCGCCAGCGATCTGATGAGGCCTTCAACTACGTTCCTGTGAAGGGCTCGCTGTCTCAGGTTGTTGAGAGCAAGGATGAATAATATTTGACCCGTGGTCGTCGCTCGTGCGGATTAGCACGGCCAGGTCGCCTGAATAATAGCTAGATGATTGGGAACGCGCTGGTGAGACGAGTGCAGGGCGGTCATCGATTTGGATATCCGTACTAGACTAGATCTCATAGGATACCAATGAAATGCGTTTATCTCAAAGCCACAGCTCACTTTCGTGTGAAGCGCAATGTTTTCGACGTGGCAATGCTGTGCCCACAACGCAAGTGACCAGGTCGGGTGTCTCATCTGCGCCATGGAAACACTAGTGTTTGCACAAACTATTCGCGACGCTTGTCCACGTTCAGGGCTTAGAAGCACGTAATGTTTCCTACGACAGCAATTTCTTCAACACAACTAACTCAGCCATGACCGAAGAAGAGAGACGTACGCTCATGAGCGCCGATATTCCCACGATCCAAAAGATACACACTGCCATCGCCGCTATCGAACCAAGCACGGCAATGACGCTATTCCAGCAGCGCAGGCTTCTGTATCTCTGTTTGCGTCTGAAAAGCGAGATAGACATATCTATCGGATGGTGGTTGATTGAAGACGTAGAAAGCCCAATTTCTGATTCCCAAGTCTGGCGCGACGTTGATACCGAGCTTGGTATACCAGAGTCAGAAGATCATCCCTACCAGGTAGCCAGTCAGGACGCAGGGACAGATCAGCATGGACATTATTCACCTCGTAGTAGCAGCAGAAGTATATCGAGAGGGAGAAGAAGGACGAGATGAGGCTGTCTAGTGATGTTGCGAAACTAAAGAGAGAATGAAAGCAAGCGGTGGCGCGAGATCCATGGGTTGAGTGTGGTTAATGGCTTGAGTATGGATTACGAGTGCCATATGATCATTAATTGAACGGTCAATGAACAGCCCTGTCCTCGGCAATCTAGTCACTTACACGCGTTCCATCTTACTGACGCCATGCCTTATTCTCAAAGCCATGATCGATTCACCTATCCAAAGAAGGAGATAGGGATATAAGCTTGCAGGTAGATACACGAATTGCGGTAATCAATCATGCAAGCTTACTCTCTAATAGGCTTTGGTATGCTGATTGTTCTATGTGTTTCACCGTGAAGGACTCCGCTCGCAGCAAACAAGTCCAGTATATCAATGCAGAATGAGAAGCATCAGAACACCATCAAGATCATCCTTCTCTTCAATCCGCTCCATAGCATGGCATCAGAAAACCTCAGCTACCCTCCGGAGAAAGCCGCTGTCATTAACAAGCTATCTCAAGCCATCAAAGCGTTCGACACC